AAAAAGAGTTTCAAGAAAAACAAAATCTTGCCATTGAAAAAGAAAAAAGAATAAACGAGAAAAAGAAACAGAGCTGAAAAACCAACGGAAACTTAACGAACAGAAAAATTAAACTCGGAAAAAACATGACGAAAGAAAGAGTAAATGTGAAGTTATACTGTGCCCGGAATGTGAAGAGACCTACCAAGATCCACCAGCGGAGGAGTGAATTCAATGCTCGTCCTGCCAGCTGTGGTGGCATGAGGCGTGTAGTAATTTTGATGGAATAAATTACTTTGTCTGTGACTTCTGTCATACCCTGGGCACTCTCCGAAATATTTCATACCATGTTTACTTGCTTACATCCCGCCAGAGGCGCTGCAAACAGATGAATTTTAACAGAAATTGGTATAAATTTAAAATTCGCATCCGTCCGCATCTATGGTCCGTAAACCAACCAATATAATACAACTAAAAGCATAAAGGCAGCACTTTCTTATTCTCATCTCAAGCTTAATTTTATTGATACTTTAAATTCGCCAAAGGGGTCATAGGAATATTAACCCACCAGTTTTCGATTTCCAAAGTTATTATAAGAGCCTTTTGGTGACTGGTATGTCTTTCAAGCAGTCTGTTGGAAACAACTGTGAAGATGATCAATCAGAATTAATCTTCACATTACAAAGACTTATATCGCAGGTACTTAATTATATAATAATAATAGGTATGTGATAATAATAATAATAATGTCTTTTTCGTGTGTACGTCTTTATTATTTTGTTGTCATTTTAGGGACTTCTAGAAGATGAGGTCGTTACACTTCCGCAGTTCACACAAATACCTGCAAATTTACCTACTCCTTTAAAACTTACAGAGGAAAGAGCAGGTATGTTGCTGGGTACCTGGGGAAGAAAATTGGAAAACAATCATGTGACTGCAAAAAGCGATTTTTCAAAATTGGTGAAAAAGAGGAAGAGGCGGAGGACTTTTTAAAATACAAGGAGTATTCTCAAAATTCTCAAAAAAGAGTGAAATGATTTATGATTTTCATAAATCTGGTGTTTGCATTACAAACACTTGCTAAAAATGTCATATTAACGCCATGTATTCATGACAACAACATGAAAAGGCATATTTTTTCATATTTATCAAAAATACAGGCATATAATTATTGCACGCAAATAAACAGAATAGGGTTTAGATATGAGACATATCCCTGCACATGTGTCAAAAATGTTTATTTCTGTTAGAAAAATTTACCCTCTGTATATAGGTATTTTAAGAACCATTCAGAATACCCATTTCTAACTTTATTAATATTTAGTTTACTTTTAATAGTTTTTTTTTTGGAAAAATCTCAATAATTAATACGAAAAAATATCTACTTAACATAGTTAAATGGTACCTGCTCGCATATACATATTGTCCAAAAAAGAACTTCGGTTAGCACTTAATCAAGAATAGCAAAAAATCTTTAATAGCTGCTCAAAAATAAGAAAAACCAAGTTAGACCCCTTTGTGTTTTGGTTGAGATACTTAAAGAGGACAGTGATTTATTGGCATGCAGTATACATTTGAAAATGGTTAAAAATGATCCCGCCTCGTTTACTCTTCTCACAAGTTACCGTATGGTCTGTCAATTAAGAGCAAAAAGTAATAAAATTGTATAAGGATGTTGTACCCAAATTACTTCTGCTCGTATGTAACAGAATAATATTTCTTGAGTATAATACGTAGGTACATTGGAAACATATATTTAGTGAAATTTCCATAAAAATGTTATGGTGACATACAGATTTGACTTGAGTATTACTTTCTCTTTCGGAGAGACATATTATAATAGGTTGATTCTACAATAATAGTTACTATATTTAATTATTAATTATTTGCATAGTGTATTGGATCATGTTAATACTGATTTAAATAAACCAATAAATCTAAAGTTGTTATTTTATAAATTTCAACCAATATTTTGTTAATCATATGATTTCCTTTTTTCCTAGATTTATCCTCAAAAATTGAGATGCTGAAAAAAAAATCCCGTCAGTCCATTTTTTCCCTAGATTTATTTACCCTTAATATTATAATTTACAATTATTGCAATTGCAATTATAATCGCGCACATTTTTAAATTTCGAATTTAGAAAAAGAAGAAGAATTTAGAAGAAAAAGAAGGAATTTGGTTCTGAACTTCTCTATTAGTTTCTTACATCGCGCTAGATGGCGTCAGTGAGGCTGTTTCAATTCTCCAAGAGTAAAGAAAGTTTCCCATCTACAACCAATATAATATAGTTGTCTATGCTTCTGTTAATTCGTCATCTTATCCTCATCCATTCGCCAACTTATCCGACATTACCCAATATGATGACGAATTTGCATTTTTTTTAAACTATTCATTTTAAATATTTTGAGCTTACTGGATGTAACGATACTGTTTATTTTTGATAAGGAAGTTCCTAAGATTTTGTTATGAGAAAGTTTTGTGAGAATTTATAATAAATAACCAATAATATATACGTTTTTTCTTAACCTCGTCGTCTTACCCGGTTTTCCCCTACATTTTTTTAATGGAAAACCTTATACATTATCACATATTCTAAGAGCAAATTAAATTCCCTTTTGAATAATGTATCATGTCTCTATACCTAAATCATTTGATTTCTGAAATAAAAGCAAGTTTTTTTGAAAACTGGACTACTATGGGATAATTCATCTTTTAGGTGGGCATTGAATATCTTTATTTTCAATTTGTTTATTATGCATGGACAATGCAACCACATTACAGCCAGAAGATGCACAAGAGAATATTTTAAAGAATTAAGAAAAACTTAACAAACTATGTTTTGAAACTAAGGGTGGTCTCTGCATCATTACCAAAACGTGTTACTTCAAACGAAGAAAATATTATAAATACTATAAAATTATTAAATATATTTTCATTCCTGTCCAAATGATTCGATTCTTTCAATTATAGAAATTTCCTAGATCACCATTTGTTGTTAAGTTCTTGATAAATAACATATCATCAAGTGTAGGAAAACCACACTTTACTTGATGGACAATGTGACCATTTATTTACAAAAATTATTAGCACGCTACAGTAAAAAAAATAGCTTTGAGGAGTTGAACATCCTTTACCAAACCCACTTTTAATTATCTCAAGATTTAGTTAAAAACTAAACTATTGCTATTCATCTTTGCATGGTCACTAAATTGACACGGTTTGATACCCGCGCATTTTCCTACTTACCTGATATAGCACTTTTCATAGACGAAAAAGTTGGGCGTCTTAATAAAATGAAACCAGGACTCCCAGACTAAAAAGGGTATTTTCAATCGAAACAATGAACACTTTGGTCTGTCGACAATCCCCATGCCGCAAACAAAATGGGATTTCAAAGTAAATTTAGTTTAATCAATAATGAGGAATTCTTTATTGAATTGTCAAACGGAAAATGAATTATTTAACATAAGACGGATATTTAATGGCCATTTAAAAGATGAATTATGCCAAACTGATCAAGTGAAACTTGCTTTTATTTCAGAAACCAAACAATCATTCGAAAGAAAATTTAATTTGCTCTTAGAATATGTGATAACATGAAATGTGTTCCATTTAAAAATATAAAAATATGCGTTTTTCGCCATTTTTGTGACTCGTAGGTAAATCATTAGTTTTGACCAACCCTGTACGATATAGAATTTCGAAATTAAAACTAGGCCTAAAATTTTAACTTTCTACTGGCTCCAGAATCATAGTAAAAATTTAATTGAAGCAATGTTTTAACTGAAAAATAAAGATGTTAATTAATTTCTCGAAAACCACTAAAGATAAGTACAGGGACATAAAATATTAACGCATCGGAAAATGCAATAATATATATGGTGTCCACTTTAAAATTTCAACGATGATGCTACTTTTTAAAGAAGCAGCAACATGGCAGCGTTAAAAATATTAGTAGTAGTAACTACCAAAACTAACCACATATTGTTGGTGTTCTAAGAACAAAGTGCATATAAATTCCTAAACATCTACCGTTTAAAGCTTCTCTAAAAGGTTTCAACTTAGATCTGGAGTAAATAATTAATGATCTACATCACAAGGTTGGAGAGAATATCTGGATCTCTATTTTTATGTAGCTATAATATAGCTTATAATGGAATAGTTACACTGGTCAATAAGGTAGATTGTTTCAGTAATACTCTAATTTCTTTTAAGCCTGCACTGATTTTAACTAGTTAGTCATATTTGTGTGCTTACTGTTTTGAATTTCATTGTATACTTTAATTGTGGACACCATGCATTATTGTTGGCTGCTTACATATTATTTTATACTTACAAATGTATTATATTAAATATGAAATTAGTATCAGTTATATTTTAGGAGAGGAACTATACAACATTGTAAATCAAAGTTATTGAGTTTTGGTTAGTTTTGAAATTTGAAATAAGATCACACAAAATAAAAGATGGATTCAAGCGATAAAAAAGAAATATTCGTTTGTTCAAAACAAAAATACAAAAACAAGTCTTACTAAAATATTTTTCGATAAGTGTAATATTATTTAATTTAATTTATGTGAGCTTTATTATGAAAACATCATGAAATCGAAAAAGTTACAACCGGCAATGTTGAATCGATAGAACTACTGCCACCCAAATTGAAAACACTTTGATCAATTAAAAGTATGTTCATTTAATGTTCAATGATTGATTTAAAAATGGGTATACAAATTTTTTAAAATATCTATGCACCACCTTTGTCTGAATTTCTAAACTAAAGTTACTTATTGTACATATTTTTCCTATATTTTTAACATTAAAATAATATAAAGCAATTGAAACGTTTTTTTAATCCTCTTTCACCTATATATGATATTATGAACGTCATTCAACCTGATATATCGCTTCCTTCATGCGATTACTCATAATGTGTGATACAGAATCGCTCCATGTATTATATGGTCAATGAGATAAATAAATAACACAACCTCACACATATTCCCAAAATATAACATACCTGAATAGCTTTTAATGTTTGAAACACTTCCTGCGTCCTACTAACAATATCCTGTACCGTCTCTTGTCCCAACCTGCATAAGGATGCCGTATTGAACTCCTTGGATTGCTGTTGTTGAGGTGTATGAGAAGGCGGAGTAGGTGTCACACCTGGGGTCTGGGATTGAGTCATCTCATGGTGGTTGAGTCCTGGAGTAAATTCTGAAAGTGTGATGCTAGGATTGCGAATATAAAGAGAATTATGATATTTATTAGATGCATAAGAAAATAAGGTTAGGTTTTTCCTAATGATGGTCTATAAACATTTCCCCACATTTGAAGCCAATCATTAAATCTATCATTCAGCAGTCTCGACTATAGCTACATTTAAGAGTTCTTTAGTATTTATCAAATTTCAAAACTAATTTGAATTGCTAGATTTTTGAGGGCCACAAAATATAATTTTACGTCAACATCAGTTCGATGCAGCTTCGTTTCGTAGTTACAGCATGCTAAAGAATTTTTATTTTTTTGATTTACTCCAAATTTATCCAAAACGACTGTAGCAATTCCAATATACTTTGGTGGGAAAAAGTTATTTATATTAGTGCCATATAAACAAGTTCTTTTAAATGCTACTAGACCTCCGCGACCAAACCTTCGATCACCGTATGTTTCCAAAAGATACTCCCTAATATGAAAAGCCAAATGCCCCACGTCCTAACACCCTGTAGCTACGAAATATAGGAGAATCGGAACGACGTTAATACAAAAACTTTATTTTCACGTGACGAAAATCCCCGTCGTCAATAGCACATGATTTTTAAAACACCCTGTATATTTTGTGCAAAATAACGAATAATAAAAAATAATCAGGTTTAGTTAATTATACGAAAATATATTGGAAAAGCTGAAAATTGGTTTGGATAAGGTTTTTATATATCATATATTAAATTTTTTATTTTTTTATAAAAAGATAATGAAAAATAAACAGATCTTTTTACAAAAATTACATAAATTATCACAAAAAGTTAGTTACATAAATATAAAGCTAAAATAATAATAACTAATAATAATATCTAAACTACATAAATTTCTCATAATTGGTACGTTTTCTGTAAACAGATATTACGAAATGTCATTTATGACATTGTTTGAAACGAAGAAAAATACTTAAAAAAAACTTACAGGGCTATTAAAAAAAAATAGGTCAAAAAAGTTTTGAGTCCAATAAAATTAAAACGTTGACAGTCCAATTATCGCTATTGACAAATGCCTTCATTGACAATTTAATTTACAATATTTTAGTTACAATATTAAGTTAATTAGGTAAGTAATCTGAAAAACCACAGCCTAATAAGAAAATCTTTGGAAGACTCGTTGCCCATTTATTGGAGTATGGCTTATTTCAAAGAACAATTACTAAAAGGAATAAACCATGCAATGAGGAACTTGAAAATTATATATTGTTGACAGTAATCAAAGTAAGGGGAAAATCTACAGCAAATTTCATTTTGGTTAAGCACAAATATGGCCCATAAAAATTTTAACTCTGAGTATTAAAATTTTGTCAACAACATAATATTTTCAAGAAAGAAACAAGGATAACTATTAGTCAACAGTATTTCATTTCAATAAGATGGGACCCCGACCACACTTTCGCGAACAGTTGATTGAATGACAAATGGGTCCACACTCAGCACTGGCCTCCAAGATCGCCAGATCTATCTAACTCCTAGCGACTTTTATCTTGGCATGTACATAAAAAACTATGTTTACCAAAGTAATTTTTCACCAGAGCAAGCATTACATCAATTACTAGTTTTAGAAGCAATTCAGCCATTTAAATAATAACTCCCCACATCTAATTTGATATAGTGTAAGTAGTTTTTTTTTGGCATATCATTTTAAAAGTACATTTTGTAATTCGTCAAGAAACCTAAAATCCAAACATTTGAAAATGCCAATGAAATATCCACAAAAGCCTGTTTCAAACTGCTTAAATAATACAAAAACTACTCATAAGACTTTAGAGGATGTTAATTATGCTTAGAAAACGGCCATTTGTTTGAACATCACTTGTAATTGGGACTCTAAAAATATTACTATCGACAATATGAATTAATAATTGAATTTTTTATGAATTTATACCAATGCAATAGTCAGTGATTTTAAGTTACTCCAATGCAATGTGTAAGTAAGGAAATTTTGTTTGAATTTTTTTACATTATTGACTTTTCAATTTTGAATTAGTCATAAATTTAATACTAGTTCAGTACATGTGATCAAAGGATCAAAACTATTGTTTTTCATAATGTTTGTCAGGAGAGAAATCATGAAGTATTATGAAAAAAAATCAAAATGTTCTTTTGTGAAACTAAGAATCATGATAAAAAAGGATATTTAAAAGCATTTTTATGTTCTAATAATGAAAATATTCAATATAGCGCCCGGAAAAAAATTAAAAAACTATTTTGCACAACACACAGTATTTTTACGAACCTATGGGCCTCTGCTGCATCGGCATTGGTGGGGTTTGGTGGGACACCAGTTGGTTTCCTGGCATTGGGGTTATAGAACCGCTTATGTTGCTACTGATTGGACTATTCATACTGTATTGTTGGTTCATCTGACTGAGCAACGCCGAATTACTGTTCAGTGCAGGATTCATAGCCGCATTCAATTGAGTGTTGAGGGGGCTCATGGCACCGTTTAACGGATTATTAATCTGCCCGATTATGGGGGTACCCATCGGGCTGGTCATTTGATTGGGCATGGTGTTTTGCATTCCAGTTCCTCCTAAACTGTTTTGGACTGGCCCAGGAGCGAAAGTACCACGCATTCCGCCCTGCCCCGGCATATTCAAGTTTTGCATGAAATGGTGCGGTGGAGCCGCCATTTTCTTTCTGCTAATAACGGTTTTTCATAGGCATTAAATAAAACCTAAACAATTAAATCTACCTCCTAAAACACCAAAATTCAATTATGCGTTTTACAAAAAAAATGTTGGGCAAGACTGCTAGGATCATTCGCCCATTGCCGACTTCCGTCGAGGATTTTCGCTTCTGGTCAAAGACCACCACGTACAAAGAAGAAAAATAACCAATAATTTGCTCAGCTAGCAAAAAATGATTCTGACCGATACCAAAAAAATCGGCTTCCCCCCGCTTCCACCGCGGACCATCCGGGCCCATCCGGCCTCCATACCGGCGTGAACAGGGAAAAACGACGGGGCCGACGACGATTATCACTTTAAAACATGCACTGAACACTAAAAACACTAAGTCCACACAGTGGAAACCGATATCAAACTTTTGAGGACGAATACAAGGGATTTTGTCGGGAGCGAACGGAGGTTAAACCGCCGCGTGCAATGCTCCCCCTAAAACACCATTAAATCTACACAATACTTTCTCCACTTTGTTCACAGTGGGCAAATATTCTCTGGACACTCGCCCATGATATAAGTCATAATTAAACCATTAATTATAATTAAACCATCACATTAATCAACTATGTGTAAAGATCAGGAGACACAAAAAAAATTTTACATGTATTTTTAACAAACAAAAATTGCCAATTAAAAATACGATGCAATTTTTTCCAGAAAAATATGCTTATTATGGTGAAATTTTCATTTAAAAAGTAGCTTTTTAAAAGTTGATAAAGTTGTTTTTTAGTGTTAAATGGCGAAACTTCTTTTTTATCACGTATATAACTTGTTGGTATAAGTCGCCTTGCAACGCATTACTGGGCGCTTAACTATTTTCACCCGAGTTTTAGGTTAAATATTGAAATACAGTTGAAATCGATAAGTTCATTAAAAAAAAAACAACCGTGTTATTAAAAAAAAATACTTGCAGATTAACAGAACTAGCAAAAATGAGTTAGGTTTTTGTGTTGGGCACTTCTTTTTTTGTACTCTATGACAAGTAGGTTAATAAAAGTTAAGAGAAAACTACGTGTTATATATATGAAAGTTTCTTTCTTATAAGTAAAAAATACAAACAGAAAAAATAAATAAAACAAACTCTGCTAGCCATATATTTTAACAGTATCCACTAATCCTAGCTCAATAACCTCAAAAACCCAATTCCCTCGATTGTACGGTGGAAAAATTTGGATTGCTTTTTACCACTTCTGATGTGCTGTCATCAGTCCACAATAGTATAACATAGGCGCGTGTGCTATAAAGTTTTGGGGATAATCCATACTTCAACAGCATGTAATAGCGACGATGTGTCTTAAGGTCCACTTGTCCTTTAGACAGACATTTCATTTCATTTCATTTTTTAAGTTATGTTGTTAATTTAATGAATTTAAAAGTTACAACCACAGCATCAATAACGCCTGACTTGTTTCGTGGGAAAAAGTTGACGTCATCGCTTGGCCTAAACCGCAGAAGTAAATCCAATGAAACCATCCTCGTTGTCTACCGTCCTCAAAATTGTGTTGGTGCAATGTGCAGTTTGCAGAAGCCCACGTTTTTAATTCGATTACAAAAGATTTTTTCATAAATAGTATCGGCTAAATGTACATAACATATATTTGTTAGTCTAGCATTTTAACTAAACGGTTCGATCAGTAGGTAAAAGCAAGTAAAAGTCAAAGAATAGCATTTTCCATTGAAAAATTACAACTTCCCACAGGCTTCGGTTGCCATGTACCAATTCACTGAAAATTATGATGCAGTGATTAGAAAAACTAAACTATACACACATTTTTTTCACTGCAAGTAAGAAGAGTAGCCTCAAAATGATACAATTCTCGAAACAATATGCAGAGTTGGGCAAAATTCATCCAACAAAATTTGATATTTGGTTCCTAATATTAGGCTTTTGAGCTACTGAATTTAACAGGACTTTTCACATGTTTATTTGATAATTTAATTGCAAAATAATTACAGTCCCAGAAAATGAGTGGGTCATAGTAGACAAAACAAAAGTGTCCCTTGCATTTTTACAAGCTGTCATACGTATTCCAAAACTCGTACTTCTAGAGCTCGGCGTACACCGTAAACCATATATGCAAGAGAATTTCAAAATTGCAAAGAAATTAGTTTTCACCTACTTACCCACAAGTTAATATATGTGTGGTAACAAAAATTGCATAAAGCCTAGCCATTTAATAGCAACTGACATTAAATATAGTTTATTCTATCAAAATTAAAAAAACAATGTTGGTAATCGTAGAACGAACCAATAAAATATATCTAGTTAAGAACAAGCTTATGTCAGAATAAGAGACGCGTGGTTACTTTGTACTTTTGGATTCATCTTTTTTCATGTTGCGTTTTGTAGGGTCAATATATTGTTGAGTTTCGGACTTGTTTGAATATCCCAAATTGACCATTTCCTACAACAAACGACTTTTAAAAACAAAATTCCACAAAATAATCAATCGCATTTTGCTCGAAAAAATTCCACAAATAACATATAAGTACAAGACGATGGAGTTGGCTTTGGAGTATTTATACCTTCACTGAATGTTAGGGTCGGACATGGGTTGAATAGGGCTTTTTGTATTTGCTCTGTAGAAATGGTAGCTATTAGTTGCGCTCTAGATCTTATCTTTGATTATAATATTATACAGGGAGAAATTGTCTCCGATTCCAAAAGTGTCCTGCAGAGCTTTGGTTGTAGTGCGGTTGAAGCCTCCAATAGCTACATTCTACAAGATATTAAAGCAAAGATTGATATGTTGAAGTGAAGACTGGGGTGGAAAATATCATTATGCTGGATTCCAAGCCATTTGAGAATAAGACATAATGGATAGAATAGCCTCAGAAACCAGACTTTCAGACTTGCTGAATTTAAGGCCCCCTTTCAGTGAATTTTTTCCCGAGAATTAGAGCGAAAATGTGGCATATCTGGACCATCAAGTGGAAAGATTGGGATCGTTCAAAGGGCAGAATTTATAGTGCAGCTTATAAGACCCCACCAACAGTCCCATTGTTTCATAAATTGCAGTTGTCCAGAAAATCATTGCAGTTCCCCATCACATCTATATAAGATAAACGTAAAACCATCTAATCTGTGTACTGTGTATTTTGTTTGTGCTCCGCATTGGAATAACTCCCAAATTTTGTATGAGTCCCTCATTGATGCCAGCATACCCGCTCCTATTAGTGCCTTTTCTGCACTTTTTCACCATGGATGTATGGAATTTATTGCATGAGTTGTGATTAGTTTTCTTGTTGCATGTGGTATCTGCTTAAAACAGCTTTTTGATTTGCTAGTTAGTGTTCTACCGTACTTTTACGCTTTGATTATAAACATTATGTATATCATTTAGAACTTCAAACATTAGTCTCCTTCGCTGGAGAAGATCAGAAAATCCTCGACATTTATAACTGCAAAGTTTAGTCTCCTTCACAGGAGAAGATCCCAAAATCATCGACGGAAGTTTGCAATGAGAGAATGATCATAGCAGTATTGCCCAACAGTATTAGCATTATTGAATTGAATTGAAGAACAAGATGTCAATTGATCCAAGCAACTGGCTAGCACAGAAAAGAAGAAGAAATAGTTACCTTCTTTACCATGCAATATTAAGATCACACCTTTTTCTGTAGTTTTTTAGCATCGTTGAGTACGAGTTTTGTGTGTGTAGAAATACACTTATTTCATCCTTATTGAGACAACAATGGTCGGCAAACGATGTTGTGTTTGAGAAACTAGCATCAAGCGTTATAATTTAACGCGACTTGATAAAATGGCTGGGAGGAGATTATTTCTTGGATTATTGCTGCAATAGTCGCTAGCCGCTGTTGATTGGTAAGTTTTGACATTTATTTTCAACTGGGATTTACCGCAGCTTTCATTTTTTTACAGTTACATTAGTATTTAGCTGAAAAATTATATTCTGGAGGTTTTATTTAATTTAAACTTTTTCGTTACTGAATAAAAGTCATAGAGTTTATCAGAAGGGTATGATATTAATATCGATATTTTATTTTTTATGTATCCTACAAGCAAGGATTCAAGAATCAGGAGTCAGCTTGAAGATATAGAATTTGAGGTAAAAAGGTCAGTGATTATTTATTTTACTGCCATACTTAAATTTTTTGTAATATGGATATTTATTTAGTGCATTTTGTGACCTATTTTGTTGCAAGACCTGAGGGCATCAAATCCGGTATTATGAGAAGGCGAGAAGAAAATTTTACCAAGCTATAGTCCAAAGCTGAATTCTCAGAGCTTCGGTAACCAGGTAATTTATTAAATTATGCAGGATATGGTTGCTTCTTTATTATTAAAGGTAGTTGAAACATTTCCTCAAAATCTTGTTTTTTTACTATTTTTGTATTTATTTATATTTCTTTATATTGTGTGTTATGTCATGTCGTTCTGGGAACCAAATGGAGTCAAAATATTATTATTTGGATTCCCTGAATCGCTAAGTATCATATTCAGGTATTTCTTGAAGACGGTTATTGTACATCACAAATGCATCATAATTCCAAGATGTTATTTAAAACATTTTTTAACTAGTTAATTAGGAAGTGGTCAATTGACTAGTCCCAACACTAGTGATATGATATTTCCGATAAGCAAACACTTAAGCTGTTTTCGTTAACCTTATATGCACTTAGTATTGTGGAAAACTCTAGAAAGCAATTTTGGATGTAACTGATAAGTTAGTAGTATGTAGTAGAATGTTCAATGTGCTAAATTCCATAAATGACAAAAACCAGTTTTCTGCTGATAAACTGTCTATGTCTATGATATAGCTCGTAAAATTATGAGTTTTCACTTCGTGTAAACCTACTTTGACAACTAGTGCTTTCCATCTCTTTTTTTGGATGAGTTTTGAGCCAAATCTGGATTTTTTCAGAAGTACTGGATACTTTGTATAATTTTGCAAATTTTGACAGCTCACACTTAAAGGACATTATGAAAGCTAGAAAAATATATCATCCCCTTCTCACACCGCCCTGTTTCCAGTTACTTTCTTGACTTATTGTTGCAGAAGTTATGATTGTGATCATTTAGTTTGATTATGTTTACTAATACACATAAATTTATTGTATAGTATTTAAATAAATGTGAATAGTTTTTGTAGTTAACAACTGCCATTTGTTAAAATTGATTAACGGGTCATCAAACGTCACACACCTTAAACACAATCTACAAACAACAATAAAGTAGTTACTTATTTATTTTCCCTTACTGTCTAAGAAAATGATATGTAATCACGCAGACAACATGCAGATATTTATTATTTTATTTCATTAATATTATAATATATGGATACTGAAGCAATTTAAGAATAATAGATTGGTACAAGGGATTAATAGCATGGCCTGCCAGATATCCAGATAGTGGTGCACTGGATTTTTTTCTTTGGGAGTGTTTAAAATCAAAAGTGTTAAAAACATCATTTATACGATATGAAATTTAGAATTAGATATGAGAAAAAGAACTTGGCATTTATATTTAAATTTATATTTGAAATATTCTTTCAGGTTAAAAAAGGCATTTTGGAACAGAATACAGTTAATAATTTTTATATACTCCTTGAAAGGAACCCATTTAATTTCATCTCTCCCAAATTAAACTTATAGTGTGGCAGTAGGATTGAGGCTACCACTCTTGAAATGATAATGACAGGAACAATACAAAATTAAAGCAACAAATGTTTATTTCGCACAGTCGATATGATAAAAAAGAACTTACATAGCAAAAATGATTATGAATGCAATTATATTAGAAATAAAACTAAATGTAATACACTGAACAAAATAATTCACAAAATTTTTCAAATTCTTTTTCGTTATTTTAAATTTTGCTTCTATTTTGATGTTGTCAGCACATGTTGAGCTGAAAATGTTGGTTACTCAAAAAATATTACATAGTTTTTAACAATATACAAAACCTTCAATACTTCGGACTAACAGCAAAATATTTCGTTTTCTCTGATGATAACTTAAATAATAAATAAATAAACTTGAGTTGGATATACAATTAACCAAATCATAAAAAAAATTGTTCCTATGGTTCGCGCAATAGAACTGTATAGTTTAAACAAAAAAATCTCGACTTTTACTTTGTAATAGTTTCATTACACCTGATATAAGGTACTTAATTTCATAGTGGGAAGTCTTCCCGCCTATCTACAAAATAAATTACAGAAAACTCAAAACAAAGCAGTAAAAACCATATTTAAAATAAACCGTCTCACTTCAACAGAAATAGTGCATGACAATAACAAAAATATAGGACAAAAAATTATATTATATATATACAGTGTGTCCAAGATAAGGATGCACAGCATGGGGATCTCGGAAACTATAAGAGATACAGTGTCGGTTAAATTAGACAAAAGTTGCGCATTTTGATACCGAACAGGATCCCGTTTTACAAATTTGAAAATTCCAAGCCGTTCCGGAAATATCCGAGAAAAACCGAAATATTGCGATTTCGTTTTTATTATTTTTTAAAGCTATTTGAAAAGATATGAAAAAACGGAAAACACTTTTCCATTGGCACTTTTTAATCTCTCCAAATTGACGTTAACAAATTTTCATTACAGCGTTTCGATTCCATGGAACCACCATCAACTTTGATTTTTCTTATGGGACGGAAAAAAAGTACACACAGTATTAGGTTGTGCTTTTCATTGCGAATTCAACGATGTACGATACAATACGGTTACTTATGTTTTTATCCAGAAAAATGGCTTTTTAATACATTTCTAGTATTTTATTGTAGTAGGCCATGAGATCCGAACGATGAAAGGCAAAAGAAAATGGTTGACAAGTTCGAGTTAATGTGTTTATTTATTTACTAACTCTAACTGTTCATTTAACATAACAACTAAATCCAACAAGTTAATGAAAAACAAATTCTATAACAAATGTTCGAATAAATGACCTCCATTTTCTAGGCATAAGTACGCCCGTCTCACGGTAGACTCCAAAACACGACTTAACATTTCAGGAGTAATTTTATTAAACGCTGCTCGTACTGATTGACGTAATTGTTCCTCGTTGTCAAAACATTCTTTGAATACCTCATTTTTTATGTAGCCCCATAAGAAAAAGTCCAAGGGAGTTAAGTCCGGGGACCTTGGAGGCCAAGGGGTTTCACTGTAAGTCCCAATGTATTTTCCATCAAACCGTTCAGTTAAATATTGGCGAACTTCTCTGGAGTTATGCAGCAGCCTTGCACAGCGCCTAGCGGTAAATCATCTAAGGCATCTTCTAAATCGTGCCTCAAGATGTCAAGGTACCGCTCGGAAGTTAAGGAATTATTATAGAAAATAGGGCCTATAATCTTGCTACCAAAAATCCCACACCAAATATTAAACCCAAAGCGAACTTGATGTCTGGATAGTCTATTAACACGTGGATTTTGTTGCGACCAATAGTGTGTATTGCGCCTGTTATAAATACCGTTATTGGTCACCATACTTTCATCAGACCAAATCACTTTATATGGAAAATTAAAACTCTCATCACACATCCTGGTATACCACTCACAAAAATGTCTACGTCGTTCGTCGTCACCCGGTTTTAATCCTTGACATATTCTGAATTTGTAAGGCTTAAATTCATTTTTCCTTAAAATAAACTGAGCTGTAGATTTAGCTACCCCATTCTGGTCTTCAATTTCTCTGGTAGAAGTTTGTGGATTTTCGATAACAGATTGTAGAACAATGTATTGGTTTTCTTCATTGGAAGGTTTTTGTCGGGATAATGCAGGCTTCTTAAATGATCCATATTCTTTCAGATTAAATAACAAACGCCGAAAAATACTCTTGTCAGGTTGTCTCCGCTCTGGGTATTTGTTAGAATACATACGCTCGGCTTCCACACAATTTCTTTGGCATCAGATGTAGCAAGACAGCATATCACATTTTTCTTCGTTTGTAAAATTACCTCCCTCCATTGTAGAACAAAATAAATTAGAAAAAGACAACAACAATAAAAATACAAAAACAATAACTAAAGGAATAAACTTATGATCGACTGATAACAAAGACAAATAACATTAATGTGTCATTGAAATTGACTGGATGTCATTTTGTCATGGCCTACTCCATTTAAATGCTGAAATGTATTAAAAATCCATTTTTCTGGATAAAAACATAAGTAACCGTATTGTATCGTACATCGTTGAATTCGCAATGAAAAGCACAACCTAATACTGTGTGTACTTTTTTTCCGTCCCATAAGAAAAATCAAAGTTGATGGTGGTTCCATGGAATCGAAACGCTGTAATGAAAATTTGTTAACGTCAATTTGGAGAGATTAAAAAGTGCCAATGGAAAAGTGTTTTCCGTTTTTTCATATCTTTTCAAATAGCTTTAAAAAATAATAAAAACGAAATCGCAATATTTCGGTTTTTCTCGGATATTTCCGGAACGGCTTGGAATTTTCAAATTTGTAAAACGGGATCTTGTTCGGTATCAAAATGCGCAACTTTTGTCTAATTTAACCGACACTGTATCTCTTATAGTTTCCGAGATCCCCATGCTGTGCATCCTTATCTTGGACACACTGTATATATATATATATATATATATATATATATATATATATATATATATATATATATATATATATATATATATATATATATATATATATATATATATATATATATATATAATATATATATATATATATATTCCATAAAAAAACAAACTGTTAAAAAGTAACTTGAATATAAAGCAAGTGAAACAAATACACAGTCATCAAACACAGTGCAAATGAACCAATTTTTCACACACTCTTAAGTACGAAGGTCGCCATTATACAACTGTATTCAGACGTACAACTCTATACCAAAAGTGCTTGTTGAAGCAAAAACAAAACAATTTTGTCAGAAATTAAAAGTATATTTGCAGTGACATTTTCTACCTAAACTTAATAAGCCATAAAATACCAAGCTCAATATATGCTGGTACCAGTGTTGCAAGTATGTTTTTTTCCCGGTCTCAATGGCATTTTGTTCGTTAGATAAAGCCATACTTTTGTACCGTAGCAAGCGATTACGCGAAAGACGGCCTTTGTTCTTGAAAGGAAAAATTCTTTCCCGTTGACGTTAATTTTAAGAAGTATGGATCCTGGCAAATACGTTTCGTCCGCAAAAACATTCAACTCGCGAAAGTTTATATAAACTTGTTCTTCTGTTTCAATATCCTGCTTAGTCTTCTTCATTTACTTCTATTTTGTTTCACTAAGGACAGCAATTTTTTGCGAGTAGTTCGCACTGAACCATTTAAAGATTGAAAGAAACTTGTCAGCAATTGCCTTGGTTGATTTGCCAAATTGATTCCGAGTCTCTTTGTTTTTTCTCTCAGAGAAATAAATTTGTTTCCTGGAAAAATACATTAGTATTGTCCTCCTTTTGCCTCAAAATTCAAATTATTTTAATATTCTTACGAAATTTTTATGGAATTGTTAATGTTGTCATTTGATACGCGCCACCTAGCGGTCGATAGCTGAGAAATTCGGCCGTTTTGCTCCAGATCTCTAGTCCACGGACTAAGGTAGCTAGCGATTGCGACGTCATATCCGTCGAATTTTGTCATTATTGTTAATGTGGATTGTGAGATAAAAAATAACTGTGACTGTGGCGTCTTATTTTCCTAACAATTTGTATTTATCGTGCCGTTATACTTCACCATCGATCATTTATTATATTCTAAATCGACATTCTTCTTTTTAATCAAGCACGCATGGGCTAAGACTAATTTTGGAAGGTTCGCAGTTTTTGACAGCAACTTCTTTTCAAGTTGTTCTTCGATTGTGGCGGGTTCAATGGTGGGACGCCGTGATAATACTCCTCGAAACTTCGAATCCAGAAAGAAACTGGTGAATTGTTTAGCTGAGTGTTAGAAGTACGTGTGCTACATGCACACCTGCGGAATCGCCGTGGTGCATGTGGATTATCCAGTAAAGTTTCAGTACATGTCCGGCCACGCAACTTCCATCTTCTGACTAGTCGGCCTCCAATTTTATCCAGTATACTATAAGGCCATCCACCGAGGTGAGTCGATAACGAGGATATAGTATTACACATAATATGAATCGCGCAACAGCTCAATAGAGTGGTTATTTCAGGCCTTCATCCAAAAGCAATTAATAGTTGATCTATTGTTGTTGCACCTACACTTTGTGTTACTGCACGACCGCCGCCTTGTTTAAGAACATCACTTTGCCGTACACACCTTCACCTTGAGGTTTCTGATCCACCTGACTGTGGAATGCAGTAGTTTTGAAACCCACCTGGCATGGGAGACCAAAAGTAAGTCTAATTTAGATACCGTGAGTGGAACTTAACTAACTAATGCATTGCGTCCCCAAGTGAAATACTGTGGGTATGGGTTATTTTAAATAGTGTCAGCCCTTACCAAATCCTTGGCAAGGTCAAATGTATGCCTCAACTGCAGGACAAATGCGAAGCTAGAGAGTTAACAAACCACACTGCCTGATTTTACGTCCCCCATAGAGCAACTAATCATTGTGAAAACCTTGTTTCTAATCTTTTTGTTTCAATCTCACAGTGAAAATCGGGGCCACGAGTATGACTCTGAGATAGGGGTAGTTTGCGCCCTGGTCTCTGCTAGCTATTAAAGCTTTGGTAATTGATACAATTGGATGTCACACCAACCCATGCAACATAGGTTGTTTTTATATGTACTGAAAAATGTTGCCATTTAATTTTACCAAAACTGATAATTTTTTTTTGGATCCAAGAAAATATTCTTGCTTAAATCGAAACTGATCTCTTTGGGTTCCTGCTTAAAAGTTTCGAAAAGGCGAGGCTTTATATATTTTAAAGCGATTTCTTTCATCTATATTGGTCTTTTGTGTAGTATTTTGTAGCAATATTTTAGTATGATGTAATTTGACTTGATATCTTTTATAATCTTGTTATTTTGCAAAAAAGGTTTTTGAGACTGCTCTATATTGTTACAATACAAAAATCTTCTGGTGTTGATAAAATCGCATTAACCTGATCTTCAAAATGTAATTCTGAAGAAGATATGTTCCCCAATTTGCAAAAATGTTTAAATTTGAATTTTTTTAATTGCACACCAGCATCTGAATATATTTATCTAGGTTTAGCTATACCTAGCAAAGGCAGACTTTAATGAGGTGGTAACAGTTTCCGCTGCTTCATGGTTTAACTGTGTGAAATCTACATACTTACTACAATAATCCACTGATAATTAGGTATGTAAAATACATACTTCATTAGGCACAAGTTTAACAATTTTTAATGAGGTCCCAATTTCTTTAGTTGTATGATGCCAAAATGCAATCATTTTTGCTTGTCTTTTACATTTGTCTATACCAAAATAAATGCAGTGAATATAATTCCACATTTCTGTGAGTAAAGATTTTTGGAACGCTTACATGATTACATTTAAAAAGTAAATTTTCAACAAAAAATCTTGACATTAATTTCAAAAGATTTCTAATGCTCTTGAAACTTCAATAAAGATATCACATTTATTATCTGAAACTGGTAAACTTTGATCAAAAAAACGTTAACCTCTGCTTTTGTGTCATTCGCTGATGATTCCAGTGATACTGGGAAAAGCAAAACAAAACATTAAGAATAACAAGAATCAGTCATAACAATATTGTTAATTGTTGCAAATGGAATAATGAATTCCAGCATTCTATTAAGAATTGATAAAATAAATCTTTATAAAACGTTTGCGCAACAAAATTTATTGGATTATCAATTGATCAAAAATTCGCATGGGCACTTGTGTTGACTATCTAGCATTAAAATTAAGCTCACATTGTTTCTATTAACAAAAAAGAGGCAGTCCCTATAGATATTTTGAAATTTATATATTTTGGTCTTATACACTCTCGTGCGGGTTAATATTTTGGGGAAGCTCAAGCTCAGGCTTTTCTAGAGAAAATTTATATATATATATATATATATATATATATATATATATATATATATATATATATATATATATATATATATATATATATATATATATATATATATATATATATATATATATATATATATATATATATATATATATATATATATATATATATATATATATATATATATATATATGATGACACTATACTCCGGGATATCATCCGTTCGCTCGTTGAACTCCGACTGGAATCCTGCATCCGACTGGAATCCTGCAAATCCTGCATCCGACTGGAATCCTGCAGACGTTTCGCCAAAATCTCACTTGGCATCTTCAATGCTCGCGCTCCGAAAACGCTTCGAGCGCGAGCATTGAAGATGCCAAGTGAGATTTTGGCGAAACGTCTGCAGGATTCCAGTCGGATGCAGGATTTGCAGGATTCCAGTCGGATGCAGGATTCCAGTCGGAGTTCAACGAGCGAACGGATGATATCCCGGAGTATAGTGTCATCACATTTTTCCATCCGTGAATCAATACGTGAGAATATATATATATATATATATATATATATATATATATATATATATATATATATATATATATATATATATATATATATATATCCACTGATCAAGCTTCTTTTTTATTTTTCTATACGGTTGTATTTTTAAGCTTAATGGTAAGGTATTGTAGACTTTTGGCCCAACAAAGCTAATATGCCGCTGATTAACTGAATTTTTGACTAAGGGTAATAACACATTTTGTTGTGCTGCATTTCTGGTGTCAAAATTATGATGAAGGTCATGCTTATAATAAGATGTTTTAAGCATAAATTTCATCACAGATTTTATGTACAACTGCTCCAAGGTAAGTAGTTTGCTCTCTTATCCCACCCCCATTGGGCTGCTCACGTAATCAGCTACCTTTACACTTTGTGTCCTGCCCGTAAGGTAAGACTTAAATAAATCAAGTGGAATACCCCTTATGCTTACCGTTTGCAACCTGTCAAGTAGGATCTGGTGTGCCACAGTGTCAAAGGCCTTGGCCAAGTATAAAAATATCCCAACAACCTTTTTCCCGGTATTCAAACTTTCTAATACATGTTCAGTAACTCTAGCTAATGCATGTTCTGCACTGATATTTCTCCTGAAGGCATATTGATTTGCTGATAGTTGCTTATGCTTTTCTAGGAACGCAATTAGTTTTTGTTTAATACATTTTTCTATTAATTTGCTTACTGTACTTATTAATGCAATCGGCCTATAATTTGTAGTTAGCTCTTTATTCCCCTGCTTGTACAAGGGTACAACAATTGAGTTTTTTAGAACCGTAGGATAAACACCAGTACCAAAGATGCGGTTAATAATATGTTTTAAAGGTTTTAATAATACTTTATAATTCATTTTAATTACTTCCGATGCGATATTGTCTTCCCCACATGCAACTCCATTTTTTAGATCATTAATATGATGTATAAGTTCACTTTCTGTGACAGGGGCAAGCAAGAAGGATTCTTGGTTAGTACTTTGTTGAACAAAATTAGGATTAATTGGGCGTCTTATTTTTTCTGCCAATTTTTGTCCAATGCCACTAAAGTAAGAATTAAATTCATTTGCCATCAGTGATGATTCACTTAAGGTTTCATTATTTCTGCCAATAATTTTTTTAATCTCATGCTGATTTTCTTTTTCATTGGTAGCCTCTTTAATTACTTTCCATGTTTTTTTTGAATCATGTATGGTCTTTCTCAATTTTTCTCTATAATAAGCATATTTTGTCTTTTGTATTTTTTATCTTGAGGATATTTCGTGCACTGTTTTTTAAGACGATCTCTTTTTCGAATTGACACCAAGAAACTACTTGTGATCCAAGGCTTTAATCTCGCACCAGCTCTTCTCTCTTCTGTGCACAATTTAATGCTTAATTTTAATTGATTTATGAAAGTACTGGCACATAAGTTAACATCACTAATGGCAAGGATATCCTCCCATTCTGTTTCCGACAAGACCCTAGAGAGTTTGGTATAATTAATTTTTCTTATACAATTACTATCAAATTCTTTGTTTGTATTAACGTCAAACGTTATATTTAACAAAATAGGATAATGGTCTGTGAAGTCTCTAGTTAAAATTACTGGATTAATATTATTGTACATTTGATTTTTACACTTAATGAAAAAATGATCAATGCATGTTGCTGATTCGCCCTGCACCCTAGTTGGTTTATCAATGAGACTTGGAAATCCTAGACTATTAAGCATTGTTTGATAATATTTATATTAATGTCACCAACTAAAATATATATTCGTCTAGAGTCCCTAGTGTGTTCCTCCAGGATATTACTCAAACTATGTATAAAATTATCTACATTTGTTGAAGGTGACCTATAGAGACCTAATATGCTTATCCTTATACATTGTTTACATAAAGAAACATGAAGGCTTTTGACACTGTTATCTTCTATTATGGAAAATTGCTCGTAATACTGGTTTTTAACATATATCATACATCCGTCAAACTTATTTACAACACTATTGTTCCAAACTGCTTGATATCCAGATATATTGAAGTCACTAACATTATAAACCGTATGCGTTTCAGACATAACTATAACATCAAACTCCTTACCGATTGATTGCAGGAACACTAGAAAGTTATCAAAATTCTTGTAGATGCTTCTTATATTGACATGGATTAAGTTAATTCCTCCCAAATCATCAAAACAGGTAATGTGGTTTAAATTATCACGCATAGCCACTTCAGAATTCTTGTAGTCATCTACGACATTGTTTAATTCCGTGAATGATTATGAAAAATTTCTTAGATTCATAAAAAACTAATTGGGTGATATCTAAAGGTCGTCCTCGGAAGTAGTTCTTGCAGGTGGTTCATGGTCATTTTTCTTCAGGAATATTTGACCATTTCGGCAGTATACAGATTTATAGTTCTTCGTGATCTTGATTTCTCTGGCTTTTTTGAATAGCATCCTTTTCCTCACGGTCAGATCTTCATTTAAGTATATTTTCTTATCTTCAACTTCTAATTTACATTTACTCACTGTAGTTATTTAGAACAGTTTTCTTCGTTTTTTGCTTATCGAACTTTACGAGGATTGGACTATCTTCATTCTTGTTAAGTCTATAGCTAGTTCTTATCTCATTATCTGGAAGAGGCACTTGTATCATACTGAAAATCTTTTGTACAATATTATTAGTATTTGAATCCCTTTGTTTTGGTATTCCAGCAATGATTATATTGTTTGCCTTTTCTTTCTGTTCTATTTCATCAAATGTGGTTTCCAGCTGTTTAATTCTCTGCTTTAAGTCGACGTTTTCCTGCCTTAACGCTTTTATTTCCACTATGAGTTTTGCAAATGTTCCATTTTGCTCATCAAATGAGTCGGACATGTATTGCACAGATGTTTTGAAGTTACTCATTTCTTGTTCGATTAGCTTCTTGAATGGGGCCAGCAGCTCATTTAAAGTATCTTTACTTATATTTTTCAGCTTTCTTTCATCCATTTTTATATCGAGTTGTTCTATATTAATTTCTTTTGGCTTCTTAACCTCACTTGTACTAGACGCCTTACAACATATTATTTTTCCATTTTTATCTGCAAGTTTCGCTTGAAATGCATAACTTTTGTGAAAACTAGAGCCACAAAATTCACAGTCTAATTAAGAATTTACTTTCTTTTTACAATGTTTACAACACTTTTCCTGTTCCCCAAATTCCGCGTGTTTGAGTGACATAACCTATATAATATATATATATATATATATATATATATATATATATATATATATATATATATATATATATATATATATATATATATATATATATATATATATATATATATAATATTTTCAAGATTATACGTTGGAAGATTATACGTTGGAAACTATATGCTTAAATAAATTATTTGTAATAAATCGTGACTGAACCTCGAAAAAAAAAAAGATTTAAATGTTTCAGTGGAAAAACATTTTAAGCATGAAAATATAAAATAATGTTTAATTTTGGTTGATCTTCAATATATACCTTTCTTAATTTGTTTTTTAATTATTTTATTATTTAATATGTCTGTCCTGGTGTAACATTTTGCGTGTTACATTTTAGATACAAGGTATACTCTGTAGTTCAGAGGAATGAACAAATGCTTATCTTACATTACCTTACCTATATCAAGTAAAAAGTCGTTATCATAATTTTTCACATGAGATCTTGATAGACGACTATAATAATTTATTATTTTGTATAAAAATAAATTTTATATATAAAAATGTAAAGTATCAATTTGAGAATCATTCATTAAAAAACAGTAGCGTTTAACAAAATATAAATTTGGTGTTAAAATGTTTTTATATACTCTCAGTTTCGACCACACACTTAGCACTTTTGAAACCCCATACCGGTACATTTGTTTTTTCAGCTGTCTTATTTGTTATGTATTTATAAATGTCAAATTATTTTCTATTATACAGCCCGGGTATTTGATTTGCGATGAAGTATCAATCATTGCATTATCTATTTGTATAGCCCCGTTACCCAATACTTGAGTTTTATTATATTTGTTTCTAATATCGTTTTTTTTTTGTATCTACATTAAGTTTGAGCGTATGTTTCTTAGACATTGGGGTAAATTATTTAATTCGTCATTCAATGTAACTATGATATTGTCTAAATCAAAACCTGCGAAGTAAATTTTGCAATTTTTACAGTAACATTGATATACAATATAAACAATGTAGTACCTAACATGGTACACCATTTTTACTTTTTTTTCTTATGTGCGATTTAAAAAAAGTTTTGCCCGCTTAAATTAAATACTATTTGTGCGATAGTCTCATCTTGTCTTTGTTTGATTATGTGGATGTTGTTTATAAGAGTTCACTAAATACTCACTTGTATATCTCACCCATATCGTAATCACATCACGCCATATTTAAATTGCAATAATATAATGAATATGATTAATATCAGAGAGTGTCACATGTATAATTTTGTTTTTAGACTCCGGTCAACTCGAATATCTTGGACAGCAGTTCATTGTTTTTTTTTTGTATAATCATGGCACTAGAAATGTTAATGGTTTCAGGGTTCCTAAGCACACAAGGTCCTTTATTTTTGTTGCGGTTCGAATGTGGAATTCCATTTGTTCTCACATAATAAAAGTTTAACAAAACAACAAACAAAGCAAAAACATATTAGCTGTTTTTTTCGTATTTCATTGTTATCGATGGTCTTCACGTAGATGCACCCATACATAAATAATTAAATCTTTAAACGCGTGTTTTTTGTGAACCCGTCTCACATTGCCTCTTGCTCGCGTCGACCTTTTTTTTAGTTTTATAGTTAGTTATGTATTTTTTTGTATTTTTTTATTTTTGTTTGTTTCTTATACAGCCTGATTTGTTATATAAATGCAGGGTTGGACCACGCAAGCAATCCTTTTTGTCACTGTTATTGTTATTCACTAATTGTGAATTGTGAATAATACTATGTAGCTTGCCAAATAAATAAATAAATAAAATTTAACATTTAACTTAAAATTTAATTATATTTTTGGGCTGTTACTTATCAAAAACAGACAAGTATATTGTAGACAAAATTCACATAAAATAATAATAAAATCACAATAATATTTAAATAATTAAGCTGGTAAAAGCCGGTAACTAACTTCAAACTAACAAAGTGAAACTTTCGTATAAACGCCAGCGTTAAATTTCAATGATCCAACTTTTTAAATTTGATAAAACGTTAAATTAAATTTCTGTACCTATAAACTCACCTTAAGAATGGCGGTACATTACTATTTATTGCTAGCTTGCTAGCTTTTACACCACGAACTTTCGAATGTGAAAAATCCTCCGAAATTTTAATGTATGATAAATATATCAAATTTGAGTAAATTGTCGTTTTGTTTTTTTATAAAACCCGCATCAACTATTTCCAGTCTTTAATAGATTAGAAGAAAATAACTAAACACCATGTTCTAAATGTGAGTATTGTGCGTTTTATGAGCAGGTAAAATTATTCAAATTTTAAACAATTTGATACATTTCTATTATCATCAGGTTTTTTTTCTGCGACAAGCGTACTGCACCACTCTGTGGGTTTCTTTTACTCCATTCCATCTTATCAAGGTCTTTTTTTTATGTTGTCCTATAGGCTAATCGGCATTTTTTTAGGTGGCTGACATATTGGCTCAACATTTTCCGTTATTTTGTAAGTCATAAGAAAAAATGAACTTGTTTTCTCTAGTAAGTCGCTAAAATTACTACTACTACTACTACTACTACTACTACTACTACTACTACTACTACTATTTATTATTTTTATTTAGTATTTAAATACAAGCCTTACATCACCAAGTGTTTTTTTTATTTATAAAAAAAGAATTTAGAAGTTTATGTTTTATGAAAAAATTGACGCGGAGAAAAAAGTTTCTCATACATCCATCTATCGAATTTTTTTCCCATGTAACTGTAAAGTTTTTCTTTAAATAAATTAACAAAGTTTGCAGTATATTTCTTTCAAACCACTCATTTAAAAAATATCAAAAACTAGAAAATAGAAAGTGTGTTTTTCTGCCCTGTTTATTTTTAAATGGAATCGCATTTGTTTTGAGGAGCCCCGCATATAAAATTTCACGAAAAAGTAAAAAAAAAACTTGTTCTTCATTAAAACATTTCGGCGTGTTCTAAAATCTTGTTTCCCATATCCCAATCTATGTATGTGGTTTGCTTCCTACACGTCCGCACACACTTTTGTTATTTATTTTTAAAATATTTTTTTGTAAATATACTAGTAATACTATTATTATCATTATTATTATTATTAAAAGCAGGAATAAGATTGAGGTCAGGATATCATTTGTAATCCATGGCTTGTTTTCTCTACAATTGTTTTGTTCAATATTTGTGCAGATTGTGGTTAGATTCAATTGTTATTATTAATACTTCGGGGTCTATACTTAAACGTTTGGCAAATCGTAGAAAGCTAGCATAGAAGCAATTTTCTTTTAACAACTTTACCTGAGTCTAGGCCGTTGTAAGGGGGGTTGTGAAATAGTGATCGACAATTTTTGATTTCGGTAGTATTTGAAGTTCCAAAAAAAAAATCGCAAAAAACCTGGGCCATAAGTTTTGAAGATTGACTTGAGACTATGATGTTTTCAAGGTGTAATTCTCAATTTTTCACTAATTTCTGTCCCTATAATAATCTGTTCAACAAAAACCAAAACCTATTTAACGATTCTAGGAATTTTTAATCACAGGATCTACCTGTCCTGTAAGCTACCTAATTACAATTCGATGTCATCAAATAAGTGGACTTTAGTACTTAAGTTTCAGTTTTAGTTTAGTGGTGTTGTTAAGAGATTTCAAAATTGTCAAATTGATTGATTTTGAATTTGTTGGATTTGTTTTTTGTGTGGTTCAAAACTTAAGGTTTAAATTTCACCGGATAAATATGGGATATAAGTTTTTTAAAATAATTTTCCGTTAAAAAAATGAGTAAAATATTTCTTTGATTGGAAATAATTAATTTCCAAGTGTCAAGATTTTGTTTGTCATGAAAACAGAGATTGTTTTTTCCTGACCAAACGTTGTTATTTCATGCTTGTCAAAGTATCCGAACTTAATTCGATGCCTAGAGGAAATGCTAACCTAATCTAGCAATTAATGAATGAATGAAAAGTACTGCAAGAAAGTAATAAAGATAAATAATCATATTTTATTTAGTTTTATATTTTATGAATAAAATGTTTTTAAAGAATGTATGTTTAAGAAATGTTTATTAATAAATTAATTTTGTCTGAAATTGTTTTAGGAGATAATTGATTGAGGTTGTACAACATGTAACTGTTTTGCAAAACCCAACTAAATTATTCTTAATTTTTTTTTTTGGCATGCAATGTATACATTTATTTTTTTTATTTGTAAACTGTTTTATGTCGCAACAGACCAAAAAGTGTTTCGAATTCTTTTAGTATTTGATGTGCAAATTGTGATTAGGGTTAATTGCCAATGATAGAAAGTTGGTATAGCAACATTTTTGGTGGTTTGAAAAACTTAATTATTGAAATTAATTGCGAGAGTTGTGAAATAGTGATTGCTAACTTTTGATTTCGGTAGCGAAACACGCAGCCTTAGCATTTGAAGTCCTTAAACATTGCAAAAAAAGTTAACGGCCCTCAGTTCTGAAGATTGACTTGTTAGTGCTAATAATCTTAAGGTATATTTTTGAGTAATTCTAGGGGTCAAACGAAGGTCTCTTCAGTATAATGCACACAGGTCTTAATTACCTAAAATCCTCTTAGAATAGGAAAAATCTACCCACCGATTTTAAGAATTTTAAATTGCAAGTCAGGTAGGAAGGTGCTTGAGCTAAATCATTAAAATTGGAAATCGTCAAACCTTAGTACTTAAATTTAAGTTTTCGTTTAGGTCGCTTGGACAGTGGTGGTGTCGAGAGATAAATTTGAGTTGTTAAAAATGTAATGGAAGCAACTCCATTAGGTATATGATTTGTATTGTAGTTGTAAAATGAAGCAAAGTTCTGATTTTACCGCTTAAATAATTTAATAATGAATAAAATTGATTAGTTTTGGTTAGTTGACTAAACTTAATAATTAATGAAAGGTGCTCTTTCACGAAATAGTAAAAAAAAAGTAATAGAGATAAATAATCACATTTGTATTTTATTTTGTATTGCTTAAATAAAACGTTCTTGAAAAAGGTATTTATTCATAGTGTGTACATGATTAGATCTATTAGTTTCAGAAATGTTTTAATATATTATTTTTAAAATGTAAGTGTTGTAAAGATATTTTATAAATATTGGTACCAAATAACCCAACTAAATTATGTTTCCAAATTAATTATTTTTAGACATGCAATGTTTTACATCTTATTTTATTTGTAAAATGAGTTTTATGCAGCACACAAAGCAGTTTGTAATAAACCCTATGGATTTTTTTCCTATGTAATTGCCTAAGTTTTTCCTTAAAATTAGTTAGGAATGATAGAAGTAGCCCAATTCAATCCCCAACACTAATTTAAAATTTTATTGTTTTATCTGTTTTCGTTCTTAAGATCAAAAATAAAAATTGAATTTTTCCGCCATATTTCTAGCTTGATATTTCCCTAATGGCTAGTTTTTAACCCAACGATTGTATGACATAGAACCATTTATTTTAAACAAAGAATCACCTATTTAAGTTTTTTGCATTTATTTTGTGTTAGGTCCGGATCTTGTTTTTCTACTTTTTGTATATATTGTATATTCTTTTGTTTAATGTTGTGCAAATTGTGTTAGGTGAGTGCATAGTCCATAATTTTAAAATAAAATGAACTCGATATTTTCATCGGTGTTCAAGGCGTAATTCTCAATTTTTCACAAATTTCTGGTCCAACCAAGATCTCTTCAACATACCCAGGTGATAAAAATGCCTCAATTCACGTCGAAACCTACCGACCGATTGTAAGAATTAATTATTGGTCATGTTAGAGGGCGGATAAGCTACCTAGTGACCTTTGGTAATCCTCATATAAGTGAACATTGGTATTTAAATGTTCGTTTAGTTCCTTTCAGATATTTAATATTACCACTTATTCTTCCATTAATAATTAAATTTAATTATTAACTGAGTCACTAATAAATTATTTTTAGTCTAATCAATTTTATATTAACTATTCAGTAGCAAACTGGGGACAGACAAAATGGATAAATCATCTCTTTGGGCGGAAACAATTCATTTCCAATTATCAAGATTTTGTCATGAAAACAACTTTGTTATTTGATGCTTGTCAAAGTTTCTTATCGTAATTCAATACCTAGAAGAAATCCTAACCTAACCTGGCAATTAAAAAATGAATAAAACATTGGTTTGATTGGAAATATTTCATTTCCAATTACCAAAATTTTATTATGAAACTAGAGCTCACCAAACGTTGTTATTTCGTGCTTGTCAAAGTCTCCGAACGTATTTCAATGCGAAGAAGGAATTCTAACCTAATCCACTAATTAATGAATGAATGCAAAGTACTGCAAAAGATAAATAATCATATTGTATTTTGTTTTGTATTGTTAAAATAAAATGTTTTTGAAAAAGGTAGATCTGTTAATTTCTGCAATCTTTAATAAGTTATTTTTAAAATACTTAGCTGTGCTTAGAAGATATTTTATAAATGTTGGTAAAAAATGTTCCGCAGCACACTGTCCCGCTATTGCTTCTCAACTTGGATTTAGATCACCGTATGTTTCGAGGAAGTTTCCTTCTAAATTTGCCATTAAACACAAGCGTATTTTAGTCGTAGACTTTTTTTGACTTGCATTATTTTTGTATCTGGACACATGTTTTACGTTTTTTGAAAAAATTGCAACTGGCAACTTTTTTTCTAGTAAACCCAGCTATCGAAATTTATTTTTTCCATGCTTTAAATTAATTAAGAATTAAAAAAACTAAGAAAATGTAAATAGTGATATTTCCGTAATATTGTATTGTTCCATCTATTTTCGTTTTTGGGATAAAAAATAAGTAATCGCATTTGCCCACACACATCACATCTCATTTTTTGAAGAACTAAACTTTAGGGAAAAAACTTTTTAATATTTATTATTATATTACGATAATAATATTTCTATACCTTTATGGTTTACTTCCTACATGTCCGCTCCAAACTTTTATTATTTGTTCTTAAAATCTTAAAAAAAAACTATTATTAAACGCAGGAATAATGTTGTAATAAAAAATGGCCCTGGTCTCCTTTTTTAATTGTTGATTCACTGATAGCTTGAAATACGGGTCTCTCTTCATTATTTATTTATTACAGATGACATTTTAACTTCTAAAGTCAGGTTCATCAATCAAAATATTGACTTCTACCTGACTTTCATTAGGGTTGACATAAGCATTCAAGATGAAGTTGATCTAACTGCCATTGTTTTGACGAATAGAGAGCGTCAATTTTTTCATGTGTCAATCTTGGGGTCAATTGATTTTGTTCTTTTCTTTTCTCGAACTCAAATATTCCGGGCGATACAAAGGTGTCGTTTTTAACAAGAATAAGTGCATACCCTATATTTTATTACATTTAAAAAATAAAATGCTTTTTAATTTTAATAAATACCTTATATTACGCCGTAATTGATGTTTTTGAAATATTCCGATTCTAGTAATTACCTAAAATAGAATGTTCAAATAAGTGAAGCTTAATACTAAAAAAATCAGTTTTTGTTTAGTGGTCGTCGATTTTAAAAATTATTAATTTGATTTCTTTTGAACTGGAATCATTAAAAATTTACCTATTATTGGAAGGAAGCACCGGCATGAGGTAATTTAAATTCGACCGGATACGTTAGGGGTATAGTTTTAATGTCAATGTTTAAATAAATAGAGTAACAGTTTACTTAGCTAAAAAGGTAACATTTTGGAATTTGAATTCATTTGAGCCGTGCGCTCAGCTTGTGCCATTGTGCCCGGGCCCTGTGAAGGACAATTCGTGAGTTTGTAGGGAGTATAGAAGAGACCGAGTGCTAAGGCATAGCGAATTATGTTATTATTTATGTTTATTACTTTTTTTGCAAGCCCTTCGAAGGACACTAAATTACCCGCTTAGCAATTTTCAAATATTTAGTATTACCACTTATTCTTTCATTCATTAAATGTAGAAATAAATGTCAGCGAGGGGGTAATTTTGAAGGTGTTCATTCAAAGTTTACTCATGAATCCATTAGTTTCAGAAAGCTGTCAGACGAAGAATTTTCTCTTAAATTACGAACGTCTTTATCTGAGCCTCGATCGTTTTAGAAAATTTATTAGTGAAATTAATTCCGAGAATTGTGAAACAGTGATCACTAATTTTTGATTTGGGTAGCAAAATACGCAGCCTTATTTTTGATGTCCCTAAACATGGCGAGTTGTGATTGCGTACTCTTATAATGAAATAAATTGGTCTCAATCTTTCTAAGTTTTCAAGGCATAATTCTCAATTTTTCACTAATTCCTGGCACAACGAAGATCTCTCCCTCTCCAACACACAGGTCCTAAAGGTCTGAAAACCATATTCGAAAACCCTATCGATCGATTCTAAGGATTTTTAATTAGAGAACATACAGGGCGGCGCTTAAGCTACCTTAATTACTATTTGGTAATCCTTGAATAAGCCAACCTTAGTATAATCTGCCCCAATCGTCATCGTGTTGCTATTATGGAATCCAACGGCAATAAAACTGCTGCGATAGGTATTAATCGAAAGAACATTAGGGACGGACTATCAAACGTTTTGGTGATAATATATATAGTTTTTGGTTATTTAAGTGGGTGTAATCTTATTGATTAAATTATTAAATGTATACAATAAATTCATAGCTAGGGATATTTATACATAATTACATTTTTATTATAAATATCTAATTATTTTTTTCTGCCGGAGTTATCGATCGAGTCGATTAATTATAATAAGATTTATGTTGTTTTTTATAGGAACGTAAGAGACCTTAATTTTTATAATGCGCAGTACTGAATTTTCCTTGCTCGCAATGGGTATGTTATTAATTACATTTTTTATTGAAATCATAACACTGCGAGTAACATTTTCTGATCTGATGTTTGATATTACTTGGATCCATAAATGAAGTTAAACATGCAATGATATTGAGGAAGACGTAAAACAGTATGCCCAGTCTGTTCTGCCAAATTATCTCTTACATACAATTTTTTAATTGCATATGAATTTAGTACTTCCAAAAGTTGCGCTTTCTTGGAACTGAATTCAAAATAAATATCATTTTCTAACCAATATTCCTGGATTTCACTTTTTCAGGCTGGTGCTTTGCGTGCCAGGCGGCTGTGGTAGCTTGAGTTGTCCGTATCGATAATACTGTTATTTGTAATATTTTTTAAAAGATTGTTTTGAAGTCAATTGATAATCCAACCCAGAATCCGTAATATTCTTTATACACAACAGCAAGCGGTTTGGGATTTTACTCTCTAGTTTTCGTACAACTCTATTGAAAGTGACACAGCTTATTTATATTGGTTTGATCTGCATCTAGTTTCTTTTATTTATTAAGTCTACCCAAGGTAGGAACTACTTCGCTGTGATAAAGACAATATGTTTTCTTTCTTATTGGACTATTGTCTATACGTTGAGTTTGAAAATCACTACGTTTATTCCTTTTCTTCAATAAATCCTCTACCGATTAGAGTTTGGATACAAATTTTTTACAACCTGTTTTGCATCAAGCTGCAAATGATGTCATTGTTATATATAAAATAACTTTTTTCGAAACGCACAGTAAAAACGCTGCCACAAATAGTCAACGTTCAAGAAATATATCAGAAAGTAAGAAATATACCCGACCTACCCCTGGTAGTTATGGCAATAGTTACAGGTTTTACCAATATTGATATTAAACTACTGCCATTGGCCTATTATATATTGCATATGGTTGCAACTTTTGAATTTTGGTAGAATCAGTCGGTGCATTTCCGATTATGTTCTGTAAATCGGGGGCGAGAGGTCATCGACCTCAGGAGTAGGTGTAGCGACAATAGTGCCGAATGGACCGAAGCTTCTCCCTACTCAAGACCATCGTGTGTGGCAAAGCGTCACATCCTTCTCGAGGTGCCCCTGTTTTTTACCGAACACGATGGATCTAGACCAGATAAGGTCGATAAAAAATCCAACTCCAACTGACAGGGTTGGCCCTACTCAGTGGCTACAGTCATGTTACTCACAGTCTGAATAATCTGTATCATCTACAACAGCAAATATATTAGCTGTTTTTATATTAAACGAACACATTCTTGATATGAGACCATCTGCATATATAATTATTAATGCCTGGGGGTGCGGTGCGCCTTGCAGGTTCATCTTGGATACCTATACAAAGAATTTGTTCATACTGGATGTTGTTAATGTCGATGATTACGCCATAATATCTGTCGACTCCTGATGATGGGAGAGGAAACTTGGAAGTATTCATTTGGTCAGGACATTGGCTAAGTCTTGAAGGAGTAGACGCTGCGAGTCCAGGAAACCATCAGGATTACTTCGAGTAGCTGTGGTCTCCGTTGTTGGGCCAGTGTTCTGAATGACCAGAGGTTAAAACGAGGTTACTTTGCTGCACTTTTTTAAGTGATATGGAAAATTAAAAAAAATCTAAAAATTAAAAAAATAAAGTTATGTATGTAAAATAGTTGTACAAAATATACACCGTCATATGCATTTACTGAACCTACAACCAACCCATTCTTGATGTGGTTGAAATCGTCTTTAACTGATATTTATAGTATGTTTAGGAACAAGAAGTCCAAATCGTATCTATATAAAAAGGTGTGACCATCTGTATATTTAATTCATAATTCTTAAATCCTGGAGGTGCGGTGCGCCTTCCAGGTTCATCTTGGACACCTACACAAAGAATTTGCTCATACTGGATGTGGTTAGCGTCATTGACTGCGCCATAGTGTCTGTCGACTCCTGCCACTTGATGATGGGGGAGGAAACTTGGAAGTACTCATTTGGTCAGGACATTGGGTAAGCCTTGAAGGAATAGACGCTGCGAGTCCACGACACCATCAGGATTACTTCGAGTAGCTGTCGTCTCCGTTGTTCGGCTCGTATTCTAGATGACGACGTTACTTTGCTGAATTTTTTTGCGTGCTGTGGAGAATAAAAAAAGATCTTAAAAATGCCATAGTGAGTATAACGTAATGTGGCAACGCAAGAGTAGACAAGTAATTATCAAATAAAGTTATGTATGTGAAATAGTTGTACAAAATATACACCGTCATATGCATTTACTGAACCTAGATCCTCGTTCAGGAATAGAAAAAATACCTCTTTTGAATATGAACAAGTTCATCTTAGTTTGAAGACAATTTGCACATATTCAGTGGCTTCTGCATTGAATTACTCTCTGAAATTCATTATAGTTAAAGACAGATTTGCCCAGGGGGGAGTTGGACGTTATACGAATTGACAACAAAACGTGCCACCTCTTTTA